ACAAGCAGGGTTGTGTCAAGGTCCTGTCCACCTGTAACTGTAGTGGTTGTTTCAATGGTTCCTGGTGCCTGGGTGACTTCAGCTGGAGTGGTGTCTCTTCTGCTGGTTCTTGTCTCCCACCCCTCTATAAGCAGGGTTGTGTCAAGGTCCTGTCCACCTGTAACTGTAGTGATCACTTCAATGGTTCCTGGTGCCTGGGTGACTTTAGCTGGAGTGGTACCTCTTCTGCTGGTTCTTGTCTCCCACCCCTCTAGAAGCAGGGTTGTGTCTAGGTCTTGTCCACCTGTAACTGTAGTGGTCACTTCAATGGTTCCTGGAGCCTGGGTGACTTCAGCTGGAGTGGTACCTCTTCTACTGGTTCCTGTCTCCCATCCCTCTACAAGCAGAGTTGTGCCAAGTTCCTGTCCACCTGTAACTGTAGTGGTCACTTCAATGGTTCCTGGAGCCTGGGTGACTTCAGCTGGAGTGGTACCTCTTCTGCTGGTTCTTGTCTCCCATCCCTCTACAAGCAGGGTTGTGTTAATGGTCTGGCCTCTGGTAGCCTGAGCTGTCATGGGGATGATGCTTGAGGGAATTCTGAGGATGGAAGAATCTAAAGAACGATTGGCTTGAGCTGTTGGGAAAGGACACAGGTTAATTAATGAAAGTGCATTTGAATTTGTAAAGAGGCTACATTAAGTTGGCTGGAAGCAGTTAAACTGGTCAATCAAGCTAAGTGTTACACCAATGGGCACATTAGCTAACATACAAATTTAAGAAAACATCGATAGTCTCTAGTGCAGCAGAGATCAGGGCAAAGGTGGGAAGTGGGCAGCCATCTCCTCTTTCTATTCCATGATCCCATTTTCTAGGATTCCCTCTATCCCTAATCATCCACTACCCATATGCCATCCTCTGGCTTCACAGAGCCTACAGCCTAGAACCCTCTTCAGAGTTTCCTCATAAGTCTATCAGATATTCCTTCCTTGAGTTGCAGCTTTATTTCATCAAGAGCTTTCCTTCTAACAACTAATTGCTGGTGAACTAAGGAAATGGGAATTTTGAAGGAGTGATTGGGGGAGGAGAGAGGGATAAATATAAGGAGTAGGGCATTACTGGAACAAGAAGGCCTGAAGAGGGTTTGAGTCCAAGTTCTGCCATTTCCTGGTGTGTTACTATGGGCCAGTCACTCTGCCTTGGTTTCCTGATCTGTGAAATGAGGACTATGATACTTATTTACAGGGTCGTGGTGAGCCCAGTACTCTGGCTGCCTCTGGTGCAGGGATGGACTAGATTACCACTCCCAACTCTCAGATTCCATGATGCCAATCTGAAAGAAGGCAACCTAAAGTGGAGAAAGCACTGGATTTGGAGTCAGGAAGACCTGCTTTCTCATCCCACATCAGGCACTGTATGTGTGTGTGTGTGTGTGTGTGTACATATGTATGTGTGTGTGTGTATTAGAGAAAATATATAATTACATGGATTTAAGTGAGGAAGGTCTATGCAAAGTCAGCAGCCTCACTTTATCCTCTGGAGTCATTAGGGCCCAGTGTCAAGATATAGATCAGCATGACTGGAGATGACCCCAGATACAGTGGGAGGCCTTGGACTTTTTAAGCTAAGGTCTTTCCCAGGTCTCAGGTTCACTGAGACAATGTCCATTCAGTGACTAAGGCTAGGCAAAAAATGAGACAAAGAATAACTTCTTTTACTTAGTTAAAAAAAAGTCTTTCTGGAAGAGGAAGACCCTCAGGATTCCTGGCTAAAAACAGAAACAGTTGCTATTTACATTTACTCTGAGTCATCAGGGCCCAAAGAGCAACCATCAGATGAGGCTTGGGCTGGGACCTATTGTTGGCCAATCAATAAGCTCCAGAGTGGTTTGGGTTTAAGGCATGGTCCTGAGGAGAGAATATTCTGAAAGATTCAGAATTTCCCAAGCAATAGAATCTCTTTTGGTCCACTCTCCTAATTTAAGTTATAGACCACATTTTAAGAAGCATATCTGTCACATTTATGATGTTATTGCTATGGAACTCACTGCCCTCTGTATCAGAATCAGAGCTGGAAGGAAGCATAGAGATTATATAATCCAATCTCCTCATTGTGTGAATGAGGAAAGTAGGGCCCACAGAAATGAAATGCCTTGCCCACAATCACAGAGGTAGTAAGTGGGGAAGTCATCATTTGAATCTAAATGCTGTTTCTAGACCTAGTACTTTCCCTACTGCACTCTACCTGTTTTCACTATAAAGCATTGTGGTGTAACATAAGCCTGTACCTGTAGAGATGGTGAGATTCATGCTGAAGAAGAACGTATCTGTTCTACGTCCAATGCCACAGCGATAGTAGCCTGCATCTTCAGATGTCAATTGGGCCAAGGTCACTTCAAACATGCCCCGGTTGGGGAAGTCCACAAGAGTCACTCGGCCACGATAGCTCTGCCTGATGAAGAAGTTGGTAGAGATGACGGTGTGGCAGATCCTCTGAGGCGGGTACAGGCGGCACCAATATTTCCTCTGGTACTTGTTGACAGGTGTGGGAATATAATGGCACTTAATGGTGACCGTTCCCCCAGGGTCTCCAGCTACCAGTCTTGGACCTTTCAAAGCACTAGTATCTGCAAGAAGGGATGGGGGTGGGGGAGTAGATAAAGTCTATTTTTTCAAAAAATGTTTTAAAATTAAATTAATTTTTAAATCATTTCTTTTCCTCTCCCCCACACCCCCACTGGGGAAAAAAGAAAAGAAAAAGAAAATCTTGTCATAAATGTGCATAGTCAAGCAAAACAAATTTCTGAGGGTCTATTTTAACCAGAAAAAGAGAAAGGGCCTAGAGACTCTTCTAAAGTGGATCATATAGAAATTGTTTATGATGTATTTGCCCTTTGACAACAGTGACTCATAACACCCAATAGGGGAAGGAAATGCCCACCCTCTCTGAGCCTGTATCTATTACCTTCTTTGGTTTACTTCTAATGGCAACTGGCTAGGAGCCACCTGGCTACGTGGTAGAGAAAAGGGTATGGTTGGGCTAAGAGTTGACTGCAATCATGATGCCCATCAGAAACCTCTTGAACTTTGCAGGTTGGCTTTGGGTACAGGCAGGGTGGGGCATGGAATCACAGGTCTTGCCTGCCTGACAATCTAAACATTTTAGGATTCTAAGAGTCACCCCCAGGCTCTCTCCTTTACTTACCTTGAAGCAAACATAAGATGAAGAGGGGAATCATTTTCCATCCTGCCCTGAGATAGGTGCCCTGCAAAAACCATTGCAAAGGAATGTGACCTGGTACATGTGACCTGAGAAGAGGCAAATGAGTGAATTTGGGCTGGTCTTTTTACCTCTCTGGTCCTCAGTTTCCTCATCTATAAAATAATGGGGTTGGATAGATCAGGTGAATTTATTTTTAAATAATTGTATTCTATAACTGTATTTCAAAAAAATTGATTTCTTTTGTAATCCTCTGTATTTTATTTTATGTACTGTATACACCATTCCAAGAAGGGCTCCATATGCTTCACCAGAGTGCCTGAGGAGTCCATGACACTAGAATGATCTTAAAAGTTCCTTCCCATTCTCCTTTCTTTGTTTATGCCTTTGCCTTAATTGCTCCCTTATGCCTAAAATAATCTCCCTCTTCACTTCTGCCTCAGTTTCCTCGGCTTTCTTCGAGACTCAACTCAAGTCTCCATTGACCCTCAGATGCTAGTGTGTGCCTTCCTTCTGAGATGTTATTCTCTAGTCTCTGTCTCTTTGTCTCTGTCTCTCTCTCTCTCACTCTCTCTTTTTCTGTATCCACACATACATGCCTTGTTTGTACCTAGTTATTTACATGTTGTCTCTCCCATCAGAACGTGAGCTCTTTAAGGGTAGGAACAGTGTTTTTGCCTTTCCACCTCCAGTGCTTGGCACAGCCTAGCATATAATAAGTGTTCAATAAATGCTTGTTGGCTAAAAACAGACTGGTTGATTGCCTAACTGATATGAATAGAAAACTATCAGGAACTGCCCTCTCTGAAAGATAATTCTCTCCCCAGAACATCATCTGTTCCCTTCTCTTCAGTCACACTACCATCACTTTCATCACCTCTCACTGTAAGGGGGAGGGGAACAGGCATTTATTAAGCATCTACTATGTGCCCAGCATGTGCCAAGTGCTTTACAAATGTTATCTCATTCAATCACCTATACTATTGTGGTGGCATCCTCATTGTTTTCCCTGCTTCCCCACCCCTTTCAATCCTTCCTTCACATGGCTGCCAAATTGATTTTCCTAAAGCACAGATCTGAGCAAGGCACTCCTCTGCTCAAGGAAGTTCGTGGTTCCCTATTGCCTCTAGGATAAAATGCAAATATCTCTGCTCAGTGTTTAAATCTCTTCATAACTTTGATCCAGTCTGTCTTTCCAACCAGACCTGGAGTCAGGAAGACTCACTTTCCTGAGTTCAAATCCAGCCTCAGACACTTCTTAGCTCTGTGACCATTGGCAAGTCACTTAACCCTGTTTGTCTCAGTTTCCTCATCTGTAAAATGAGCTGAGAAGGAAATGGCAAATCATTGTAGTTATCTTTGCCAAGAAAAGCCCAACCGGGGACATGGAAAGTCAGATAAAACTAAACAACAAACAATAACATCTTTCCAGATTTATTTCATGTTATTTTCCCTCATGCACTCTTTATTACAGCCAAACTGACCTACCTGATGTTTCCTGTGATATCCCATCACCTGACACCATGTCCTTCATGTCTATAATATTCTCCTACCTCAATCAACTCCACCTCTTGGTAGCTAGGTGATGCAGAGAATAGAGCACTGGGTCTGAGTTCAAATCCAGACTCAGACACTTCCTAGCTGTGTAACCCTGGCCAAGTCATTTAACTACCTCAGTTTCCTCACCTGCAAAATAGGGACAATAACAACACCTACCTTCTAGGGTTGTTGTAAGGAGCAAATTAGGCAATACTTGTAAAGCACTTAGATAATGCCTGGAACATAGTAAATGCATCATAAAACTTTACGCCTCCCATCTTCTCTTCCCTCCCTTCAAGGCTCATTTCAGGTGCTACCTCTTAGGAAAGGCCTTTGTTGACCCTCCACAGGTATTAGAACTCTCTCCTTCCCCCAACAATTACTTTGGATTACTTTTTACTTAATATTTACTTAACTGTGTATAAGTTTTTATTTCCCCCACCCACCCACAGAGTGTAAGGTTCTTGAGCAAGGACTCCATCCTTCTATGTCTGATTGTAGCACCTAGGACAGTGTAGACATATAATAGATATTTCCTGAATCGTTTTTCCTTGTGCCCTAATTATCATTAATACTCCCTCGCTGTCATTGAGTTTGACTTCTCATAATCTCCCAGTTTCTATATCCAGAAGGCATATGCTGACTCTTTTGTGTTTCCAGACACTTCCCCTCTCCTCCACTGACCCTCAGGTCAGACCCACTTCCTCCTAAATGAGGAGAATTCATTCCTTGGGGAGAAACTTTCTCTTTTGCTGTTACCAGGTTCTACTTATCCATTGTGCCATATGAGCTTAGAATGGTACATGGATCAGATGGATATCCCACTATCTGCTGGGTTCAGGTCCTGCTTGAGTCCTTCCTTGAGTCTTTGGTTGCTGAAGGAGTTAGGTTTACCCATTGCTTGCAGCATCTCCTGTCTAGTTCCAGCCACACTGATATTCTCCTCCTCCTATCCCCTTCCACAACATTCAAAGCCAGCATCTCTCAGATTAATTTTATTGTTTTTCACTGTTCTTCTCATGCATAGAGATTGTAATGTCCCTAAGGATAGAGACCAAGTCTTAAACTTCCCTGAGTCCCTGCAGAGCCCAGCACCATGTTGAACAAGTAAGAACTCAAGAAATACTTGCAGAATAGAATTAAAACTGGGTAGAGCCTGCCAGGGTTCACGTTGTCTTAGCATAGCCTTTAAAAATCCCAGGTCACCAAACTTGGCACTGGGTAAGAATTGAAAAAATGTACCTCCCTTTCCTCTTTTCAGAGGTGGGGCACTCTAGGTGTGGTATATTGCTTTACTCTCCAAAATAACTGACACATTAGTTGTTTTGGGCGAACTGTTTTTTTGCCCTCTTTCCTAATGGGGAAAGGAGGGGGCAGGGATATATTTAGAACTGAAGGTGATATAAAATTAGAACATATCAATGAAATAAAATTAAGAGCCCAAACTCACCTCCAAGACATAAGAAAGTACTGATCCTGGACAAGTCATTTAACCTCTCTGTGACTCAGTTTCCTCATCTGTAAAATGAGGAAGTTGGCCTTAATTACTTCTAAGATTACCTCCTATGAGCCTATGCTTTTAGTGCCTTTAACATCTCTTAGTAAATATTTGTAGAATTGAATCAACTTTATCTCCCCTAATAAATATTTAAGAGAACTGGGAACATAATGCCTTATGATTTAAACCAAAGACAGAAAACAGGAGTGACAAGGAATACAAAGAAGCCTGAAGAACCTCCAGAAAAATGTCTGTATTTCAGCCTAGACCAGAGCAGTTTCTGTAGGTGTGAGGGTCATCACAAGTTAGGGGGTAAGACATGTATCCCTGACAGACCTAGTACGTAGACACAGGAGATAAGAGGTAAGGAGAACAGGAGAGAAGGAAGGAAGGAAGAGAGAAAGGGAGGGAGGAGGAAAGAAAGAGGGGAAGGAGGAAGGAAGGAAGGGAGAAATGGAGGGAGGGAAGAAGGTAGGGAGGAAAGGAGGGAAGAAGGGAGGGAGGAAAGAGGAGGGAAGGAAGGAAGGAAAAAAGGAAATGAAGAAAAAAGAAAGGAAGGGAGAAAGTGAGAGGGGGAAGAAGGAAGGGAGGAAGAAAGAAAGGAAAGAATGGGAGGGAAGGAAGAAGAAGGAAGGGAGGAAGGAAGGAAGAAAGAAAGAGAGGGAGAGAAGGAAAGAAGAAAGGAGTAGAGAAGAGGAATAGATTGAGACATTGGGAGAAGAGGAAAAAGCTGACTTTGAAAAGTGGTCTTCTGCCATAATTGACCACTCCTTCTTTGTCTAGACCCTTCTCTCTGAGTCCCTGAGGGAGGCCAAGTATAGTAAAATCATTGAGCTTGTTAAAAGTTCCCTGTATTGTTCAGTCTATGAGCTACTTATATTTCAGTCCCTACTGCACCGGGCACAGGCAAAGTCAAGTTGAGTGATTCTCAAATGGAAGAAGAGAAGCATTAGGAGCCAACCTATTTCCCACTCTTCTCCATTTTGAGTTCTGAAATTACCTACCAGCTTATTGTACTGATCTCAAAGGCCAGGGCTGGGGCTAGATTCCTTGGCCATCCTCTCCCCCAACCCCCCAACTCTTCAGTTACCATAACTAATCTCTATAACCATAAGGGCTGACTTGGCAGATGCTGGGGCCAGAGTATCTTTACTATGTTGCCCTATAACTCTCCAAAGTCCAAACTGGTAGCAATCTCTCAGTTTAATGAGAGCAATGAGATCCTGTGGCAGGGCAATGAGGAAGCATGATACACCATGAGATCAAAAGCTTCTGTAGAAAATTATCAGGTCTGAATGGAATTTTATCCAGGAGGATAAAACTATGCATGGCAATATCTCCAGGTACCGTTTCTGCCAGAACAGATAGGATAGCAATGGCCTTCAGGAAAATTTTTCTCTTGGTGAAAGGGGAACCCTGATTAAAAATATAGTTAAGATTGAAAGCTTTTCATTGGAACATAAAGTATCATTGGAAATGTGAGAGCCCTGTCCCTCAGCGATCTGCCTGGGCACAGGAAATCATCAGTACAGCCAAGGAATTGGTCTCATCTAGCCTCTCTGGGCACATTCCCCCAATAGTGTCTTTAGGAATATAATGTGTGTCCTAACCAATAGTTATTACACATATCTTAGAGTCATCTCTAAGGAAGGAAGTCATCTCTAAGGAGGAAGAGGAGGAGGAGGAACAAGAAGGAGGAGGAAGAGGAGGAGAAGGAGAAGAAGAAGAAGGAGAAGAAGAAGAAGAAGAAGAAGAAGAAGGAGAAGAAGAAGAAGAAGAAGAAGGAGAAGAAGAAGAAGAAGAAGGAGAAGGAGAAGAAGAAGAAGAAGAAGAAGAAGGAGGAGGAGCAGGAGGAAGAGGAAGATGAGGACAAGGACGAGGAGGATGAGGACGAGGATGAGGAGGAGGGGAGGAGAAGATAACTTAAACTTCTAGAGCTTTATGGTCTACAAAGCACTTTCCTCAGGTTGACCACAGGATGATGATTTTTCATCCACAACAATTCATTAAAATAAGTTACTAAAGAGAAGAACAGCTGCATCCTTACTATGAGCCAAGCACTGAGTTAAGCACTTCTGCAGATATAAAGTAAAAGTAAAGAGTCCCCGCCCTCAGGGAGTTAACATTCTAACGGAAGAGACATCATATTTATAAACAGGTGCAGATTTATAAAAGATGTAAATAGGCCTATACCCATGGAGAACTTCAATTATTGTTGTTTTCAGTGGTTTCAGTAATGTCCAACTCTTCACAACCCCATTTGGGGTTTTCTTTGCAGATACTGGAGTGGTTTGTCATTTCCTCCTTCAGCTCATTTTACAGATGAGGCAACTGAGGCAAATAGGGTTAAGTAATTGACTAGCCTAAGGTCACACAGCTAATAAGCATCTGAGGCTGGATTTGAACTCAGGTCTTCCCCACTCCAGGCTCTACTTGCCAACTTCAATTATAGGCTCCTTGGAATACTGAACTATGAGCAAGACACTATTCTAAGCACTTTCCAGATGTGCTGGGAAATAGATAGCATAAGTATTATTATCTCCATTTTATAGATGAAGAAACTGAGGTCCTTTCCATAATCCCATTTTGGAAAGTCTTTTTAAATGATGATGTTATCCTGAGGCTCTACCTACACCTTCTTATACCCTCCAAATCCAGGGTATTAGAATCACACATTTAAGCCAGAAGAGATGTCAGAGGTTATCTGGCCCACCCCACCATCTAATTTTATTTATGAGAAAACTGAGGCCCCAGAACATTTTAATGACTTGTCCAGCCTCTCAGAGATAGTAATTAAGTGGCAGTGAGAAATTGAACCCAGAACCTCTGATTCAAAATCTTTCACCCTTTCCACTGAATTTCTGGTTCTGCCTCCTTCTTTCTCTCCATCCCTCTATCCCAAAGATCTTTGGCAGAACTCTGTTGTTGTGAGGGGAAAGAATAAGAGCAAGAGAGATGGTCTGAACCCCTGAAACCTATGATCACAAGGGCATGCACTGGCCTGCTCTGGGGAAGCCATGATCCCAACCTGTCTGGACATTGCTCTATGTCAATGTCCTGGCCTATGGATAAAAATACCTGGGAAGGAAGACATCTGAGTGTTCACTCACCCCTTGTCCTGTGGGCTGAATCAGGGTGTTCTCCATCTCAGATCAGGAATTAGGAGCACCCTTACCTCCTTGGAGAACCAGATATCTTGATATTCTGATCCTTCTTCTTCAAATCTTGAGATGGAGCTGAGTTTTAATAGATGAGGTGACAGCAGCCACCAGAATGTGTCCACTTTCAAGTCCTTCCTTCCCACTCACCCAAGCTCTATACCTCTGCTTGAGAGGGAGAGAACTGCTCTCAGTCTAGCATTTAAGCCTTTCCTGGCCAGGAAGGCAATCCCTCCTTTCCCACTTCCCCAACCAGATGAGTGATGCAATAATATGGGCATTGAAGTAGGGAAAACTTCAAGATCCAGAAGAGGAATTCCCCTGTCATTTGGCTCTCCATCATAAAGGTGGTTCAGTGGTAACAGCACTGGGCTTGGAATCAGAAAATTTCATCTTCATGAGTTCAAATCTGGCCTGAGTCACTTACTAGCTGTGTGACCTGGGCAAGTCACTTAACCTTATTTGACTCAGTTTCCTCATCTGTAAAATGAGCTGGAGAAGGAAATGGCAAACCACTCCAGTATCTTTGCCAAGAAAACCTCAAATGGGGTCACAAGAGTTGGACACAATTGAAAAATGATTGAACAACAATATAAACCACAGATTTAGAGCTCTAAGGGACATTAGAAGTCAACTGCAGAAACTGAATCCTGGAGAGTTTTAGTGACTTGCCCAGGGTCACCCAGCCAATTAGTGTCAGAGGCAGGTTTTGACCCCAGGTCTTCCTGACTCCAGGTCTAACACTATTCTCTATACCACACTGCACTTACTATTCCATCCTAGGGAGACAACTTGGCCTCTTCTCTGGACTGAATTGCTACTGACCATGTCTGGCCTGCTACTCACACTTCCTTGTCAGTCAGTCAGTTATTAAGCATTTATGAAGCACCTACTATGTGCCAGACACTGCAAAGTACTGGGTATACAAAGAAAGGCAAAAAACAGTCCCTGACTCAAGGGGCTCACAGTCTAATGGGGAAGACAAGAAGCAAATGCAGATGAACAAACAAGCTTTATCTAGAACAAATAAGAAATAATACAGAGAGGGAAGGCACTAGAATGAAATCAGTGCACATGCACCTGGATGGGAGTTCACACCCAAGACAGGGCATGCTATGATGATATACCAAGACAAATGGTTCTTATAAACAAAAATTATTACCTAGGCTCCTAGAGTTGAGTGATTCTACCAAAAGGCAGAAAATGCCTCTGTTTTCCTTTGAAAACAACAAGTAGTTTTTTTTAAAACATGGAACAGATTGACCTTATTATGTCTGTTTCTGGAACTAAAATGAATCTATTCTTTCAGAGTGCATACCAACTGCAAGGGAGCCCAAGATGTGTGGGTTAGCAAGCAGAAGACAGCCTGGCATCAAAAAACATTTCATAAACTTCGATGCTATGATGCATTTGTGGTCTCAGTAATCTCAGTATTCTGCCTGGTGGAGTAGAAACAATGCATCTATACAGCCTTCTCCCTTGGGACTCTTAAATACATCTTTGTATAAATCCTCTACAAGGGATTATGTGCCGATCCAATATGCTGGGCACTTTCCTCTAGATCACTTGACATTGCATGGCTACCACATGCAGTATGTTAGCTGTCTATTGATTATCCATCACTATTATGATTAGCTCACCATCTTTTCTAATCATACATCATTCTGTTTCTGGTTTCATTTAATAATAATAATATAATAATAATAGCTAACATTTATTTAGTGCTTTAAAGTTTGCAATGTTTTATATCTATGGATCTATCTATCTACACACACATACACACACACACATGCACACACACACACGTATAGTGTCCTATGATCCTTACAACAACTCTATGAGGTTTTAAGTTGTTTTTCAGTTGTGTCCAACTTTTTGGTAAGTGCTATTATTATCCCCATTTTACAGATGAGAAAGCTGAGGCAGACGATGGTTAATTGACTTGTCCAGAATCACACAGCTATTAAGTATTTGAAGCTCAACTTGAATTGAGTCCTTCCTGACACCAAGTCTAACATTCTATCTGCTATGCTACCTACAATGTCTAGAATGCTAGATATCACATACATTGCATGGAACATGCTGGCTGCCCATTGGCTATCCTTCACTCTATCTGATCAACCCACCTTTATTTCTAGCTATATATCACTCTGCTTCTGATTTCATTTATAGTTGGAATGTCTAGACCTTTTAGCATCACATGGACACCAATGGAGCACGTGGGCTATCCATTCATTGTTCTTTCCTCAGGACACATAACTAGCTTATTTTCTGAACTTACATCTCTCTGCTTCTGATTTTGCTTGTAGAGAGAATGTCAAGATTGCTATGGTCACTGGAAGAAGATCTCATATTTAGACTACCAACTCCTATGTTAATATTTAATTGTTGTTCAGTCATTTTTCAGTCATGTCTGATTCTGCATGACCCCATTTGGGGTTTTCTTGGCAGAGATACTAGAATATTCGCCATTTCCTTCTCCAGCTCATTTTACAGATGAGGAAACTGAGGCAAACAAGGTTAAATGGTTTACCCAGAGTCACAGAGCTAGTAAGTGTCTGAGACCAGATTTGAACTCAGAAAGATGATTCTTTCTGACTCCAGTCCCAGCACTCTATCCACTGTGTCACCTAGCTGCCCCCTAATATTTATCAGATGGGCTTAAAAATTCTGTGATTCTTAGTGCCCTCTGTCTTTCTTTCTACCAGAGTGCCATTATTGCTATAGAAACAGAAGGGGTCATTTATATTTTTTTTTGTTTTAAATGTAGGTTGCCATGGCCATAGTATTTCTCATCAAAAGCCGGACTACTGATGATGAGATTCTCCGTATTGAGCTAGACTGGCCCTTGGAAAGCAGGCATTTTTAGTAGACAATGTTGATGAGTTGATGTGGCGAAAACAACTTCATCATCCTGCGGTGAGCCTTATGGAGATGAGCCTCTTCACATTTAGTTTGTCCAGTTCTTGGCTAACAGACATATTTGGCTTGCATCCAAAACTTTGCCAGTTTGGTGGGATCAGCCAAATACAGTGTTCCGCTGGCCAGTCCTTTAAAAACCCAGTGTCATCTCTCCTTCCCCTACCTCTGCCACCCACCATGATGAGGTATTAGAGTGGAAGATTCTAGATTAGTACCTCTTAAGCTTTTTGATCTCACGACTACTTTACACTCTTAAAACTTATTAAGGACCCCAAATATATTTTGTTTATGTGCAATATATCAATGTTGCTACATATGAAATTAAAACTGATAAAATTTTAAAATATTTAATTCATTTAAAAATAACAAAAATAAACCCAATACATATTAACATAAGTAACATTTTAATGAAAAAAAAACTTTTCCAAAATAAAAAAAGAATTTCATGAGAAAAGTGGCAATGTTACACATTTTTGCAAATCTCTTTAATAGAGATTTGGCTTAATAGAAGACAGTTGGATTTTCCTATCTGCTTCTGCATTCAATATGTTAGAAGACAGTTGGATTTTCCTATCTGCTTCTGCATTCAATATGTTGTGATATGTTATTTTGGTTGAAGTATATGAAGAAAATCTGGACTCATACAGATATGTAGTTGGAAAAGAGAGGAGTATTTTAATAGGCAATAGTCTTAGAATAATATTAGATAGTCTTTAATAATTTTAGAATTTTATGAAAATAATTTTGACCTTGCCAACCTCCTAGAATAGTCTTGGGACACCAAGAGATCTATAGATTGCAATTTGAGGAACTGCTGCTATTGAGGAATTTCACAAAACCACGCCTACACCATACTAAACTGGAACAACTTTGCATGTGAGCCTAATGATAGATTGTGTGCTTGTTATCCAAGAACTGCCCTAGCTACATTTGGAGAAGCTTCATAACAGAAGGGGGAACCACCAGATGATGGGGTTCTTTTTGGCCATAGAAGTTTATGAAGATTGTCTAATAAGTTGTCTCCTTTCCAAAGACCAGTCTAGCTAAATATAGAGAAATTTATGAAGATTGTTAAGGGATTCAAGACCCCTGTAAAAATTCTAGTAGAAGAAATAATTAAATCCTCCTGTGCAGAGGACTGCTTTAAGAGCTAGGGATGACCCAAAAATAGAAAAAAGACATAGTTTCTGCCCTCACAGTGCTTATAGTCTAGTAGATGATATGCCAAAAAGACAGATAACTTTAATACAAAGTAATATGTTTAGAATAATCATTCATTCATTCATTTATTCAATAAATAATAAATATTTTTGAATTAATCAACACAATTGTGTTACCTGGGAGGGGTACATCATTATGAGCCATTAATGCCCATTTTAACCTATGCCTTGCATGATCAGGGATTAGTTTATCAGTCCCTTGGAAATTATCCTTCCTTCCTATGAACTGGTAGGGTGCTTTCCTCATATCCCACTTAGGGCTTTATCATCATCTGTTCTATTTGATGGTGCAGCTCTCATTTGTTAGATCCTGACCTCTGACACTACAGACAGGGGTCAATCTCAGGGACTTCTTTCTAATAACAAGAGAGGGTATGTGAAGCATTCCAGGTCGCACAGTAAATGTATAGTAGTGCTGGCCATGGAACCCAACTATTCAGGGCCCCACCTCATGTTCCTGTACTCACTGGTAAATTACAAGACAACCTTGGATAACTCCCTACGAGGGATGAAAAAGGGCAGATGGATTTGGTTCCAGGATTTCCTTGGCTTTTCTTATAGAAGCAGATCACAGCGCACATTTCCTGGATGCGGTGGGTAGAAGGTATACTAACAATAACATTGGCTTCTTTCTGGGAGCCCTAGAGCTCCATTAAGGCTGCTTATTCACACACATGAATTCACAACTTACCTTTGGCAAAAATTAACTCAAGTTCAGCAGGCAAAATACTGGCAGAGATCCCTATCTCCAGGTAAACAGGTTTCTCTATTTCTTATTTAAAGAGTTCTAAGGAAGTAACAAGTTAATTGCCCAGCATTCCACAGATATGGTTGTTACTCCCCAGCTCTTTTCTATCAGGTGGAAGAAACCTGTACTGAACAATCTATAACTGTAATCTATCATTCCATCTAGCTCTGGCTAACACTTATGGGGAATGAGCTTACCCCATGAATCATTGGTAAAATTCCAACTTCTCAGAAATATTAGACTTCATTGTCAATAAAGTATATCCCTCCCTTCCCTCATTCCCATGACA